CGAAACAACACCCATTAATATCATGCACATACATATTTTCTTTGTATATTTATACTGTTGTTGCTCAAGCATAATTCATCTTTATTACTCGCAAAGTCAATCGTGAAAATGTGTTGGAGTCTGGAAGTTTCACTCGCATTCGCTACAGTACATCTCGGCTCCGCGGCGTGTGTCGCATGGCATCGTCCACCTCATTACCGTTATTTTCTGTCCTTTCTGATATTCTACTTCGCCATGGAGGTTTTACAAGCATTCGAATGGTTCGCTGGTGTAGAAGAAGATTTCACTCGATCGTGCTCGAACACGAACACCTTGTTGACCAGCATTGCTTACCTATTCATCTGGTTGCAACCGGTATTATTCGCTTCCTTTTCTACGAGGAATGATAACCGCTTTGTGTGGTACTATTCTTTAATCTCTTTGGTCATCGCAATACACGGTTTGCTTCTTGGTTTTTTTATCAAAGATAGTGGGCTAGAAATGATGGGCCGGAACGGTAAAACTAACTACGGGAAAGAAACTTGCACCTATCGAGGTGCAGGTGGCCATCTCGTATGGAAATTTGCGGTGACGTCATTTAATATTCAACCAACGCATTACGTCTACGTTTCGACCATTTTATTGACCTTTGTTTTACATTACGATTTAGTACTGCTGTTAACCATTGGACTGGGCTGGTCTCTCGCTTTTGTTCTAAGTTTAGTGACATTGGGGGATGTCAATGGCGAGTTCACTTCATACTGGTGTTTGTTAAGTATTTTTAGTGATATTCCCATTGTCATTTACACGATGATGTCGAAGAAAAAGACAACAAAGCAGAACGTTTATTAACAAGTAGCATTCGTCGTTTCGATCGAATAGAATAAAACTATTTTCTGTTCTCACTAAACTGAGAATATCGACCTAACAATTTACATTTCAATTACGACGCAAATTTTTTCTTTTGAATTTTAACAGTGCAAAATTCGCTTTGTATTTTGTAATATAATTTTAAGATAAATCTCATTTTTCAACTAATATCTGTAATCAAACCAGGCTTGCCAAATCAAAATTTCAGAAATCAGGCTTTTTAGAGAAGAAGTTAGGAGTTTATCAGGAAATATTTTCTTCTAAATCAGGAGTAAAATCAGGAGATATTTTTTAGATACTCAAGAGCTATTATCTTGCTTTTACTAGATAATATATAACCTTTAATTTCTTGTATGTTTATGAATATGAAGAGAACTGATAAATGTGTAAAACGATTTTTTTAATCCAGAGGCTTTAGTTTGAAAAAAAGCATAAAACACAAAGTTTTCCTTGTTGGTTGTGATATCCATGAAATATTGATTATGTCAAAGGGAAACATGATTGCAATCAAAATATTCTTTGGAAATCATTGACATCCATAAGCAATCTTTAACAATGAACAATCAAGTGTTTTTAAGCAGTTTCGTCGCGGTTTCTAGGAGAAAACGTGTTAGACTTTAGCTTATATGAAATATGACTCCTCTCTATTCTGATTGGTAGAAATAGAGCGGTTTTGTATATTCATAACGTGAGAGAAAAATTCTGCGAAAATCTGATTGACTGAGTAGTTTTCGTAATAAGTAATCATATTTTCGTAAAGATTTGCTGTACCATTATGGAAGCAGATATCACATTCTCCAACTAATCTAGAGTTATTTTGATGTAAGTTTAGCTGAATGATATGTTTAGCACGCAGTATTAAGAGACAAAACTCATTTTTAAGTTGAATTAAATCATATATTCTATTAACAATCATTCGTAATTATTGACAATCTTCAGTAATTAAGGCAAATAAAAATTCAGTTTGCCTCCTCCGCCTTGGATTTTATTTTACCTTTCCTCTTTTAAAGTTTCTATAACCTGAAGTATCATTATTGTCGAATATAAAAAGACTCAAATCAAGAGAAAATGATAAAAATCAGCTCCTGAAATCAGGGGATCTTCAATCAGAGTAAATGTAAAACACCAGGAGAGTTCTAATCAAATCATATTGAGAAATTAATATTTTGATATTATTTTCTTTATTGAATTATAATGATGTACAAGAATTATTTTAGAAAATAAAACATAAAAATCAAATTAGATTTTAGTTGATACAATGATAAAAAATAATATAGCCTTGGAGAGTAAAAGTTAGCCACCATGTTTGATCTCTTTTTAGACTCGAAAACGGCTTGTTGAGAAAAGTAATTATGCCATTCGATAGCTCTTCAAATTCTCTATTAAAGTATGCCTTTTATTATATGGTAGAAAATTAATTGAATGGAATAAAGGTACCGTAATATCGAAATTGCCAAACAGTTGATTTTCTTATTGTCTTCGTATTTAGTATTTTGGGTGAATCGTTGGTTAGACAACGAGTTTTTAAGGGGTGTGGGTGTGGGTGTGGGTACCAATGAAATATCTCTCATCACCCACACCCACATTCGCATCCTCACTCTCGTCCAGGACTTATCAAATATAGATTTTTTTCATTATTTAAATAAATGAATTTTGAGAGTGTGGAAACCTTCTTAATCATTCATACCTATATATACAAGATGTGATCAACTGAACGTTAAAAACTAGCGACGATGAATGCCTAGACTATTCATAAAACGATATTTATTTTAGTTATATGACTTTTAATATGACGGAAATAATGTCAATAATGACAGACATGATATTTACTATATTATTTTGAATATAATTAATCATGACATAAAGATAAGTTGTTAAATACTGATAAAATTTTATTTGACAAGTATATTATCAATTTCACCAAGTGATACTAAATAGAATTCTTTTTGACAAGTTAATACTGAATAATGCTTGCGATTCTCTGCGGAATATTAATGTTCTTTTTGCAATATGATAATGCTGTAACAACTAATAGTTTCGAATGGATTTTATACTCGCATAATGGATATGATAATTG